GCACCGGAGCAGGACAATCCCCAGACTCTGCTTCCTGGCGGGAGCTTGAGGGCCGGATTAAAATGTCTGAAGGGCAGGATGCGGCCCCTGGGCCGTAGTTTGCCCACCCCTGGGCTAGACCAACATTATTTCACAGACAAATTCACTCTCTCTGACTCAACATGGCAGCTATGATCAATGGGAATGCTATAGATGATGATACACGTATGGGTCAGGATTAGAGTGTTCTTGTTTAAGAATCATTAGCTATGGAAATTCTGTATCACAGCGGAACAGGCTGAGTCCAAGTGTTGCCACACACAGGACAAAATTTCTGACTCCTCCTTCCCCTAACAGCTACTGCAGAACAACAAGGCATTTTTCCGTGGAACTAAAGCACCAGTTGCTAGCCACATTATTTCAACAACGCAGTCCCAACAGCAATGAGTCATTACTAACAAAATTAGGTAGCTAGTTTGATACTGCAGCTTGGCTTTTACCTCTTCTCTATTTAACGGTTAGGAATTTACTTGAAGAAAAAGCATGACTGACAAGTACTTTAACCATGGAACCCTGCTTAGATTATGATTCTCAAACATCTCTGTCATTCTATGAAGCAGTAAAATACTGTCAGCGTTCAGCCCACTTTAAGCTTTATTTAGTGAAGGTTTAAGCTCTGCCATCATAGGGAGACATGAGACAGCTTAGGCAAAATGAATTCTCCAGGGCACTTCCACATATCAGGGACTTGCACTTCTGTTGAAAAATTATCCATATGAAACCAGACAACAGGGAAATGTTTAAGTCAAATTAATTTAGACATGGTTGAGATGCCAGAGGGAGAGGAGAGGAGAGTGTGAGGATTTCTTTAAAAATCTTATCGTAATTTCTAGCATCTAAAAAGAGGCTAATTATTTTCAAACTTGCTAATACAGATGCCTATCTTGATTATAAACTGTTTATATTATATTTTAGGGCTCTCCCCTAAGTGGAAATAAGAAGACACTGACGCTTAAAACGTGCAACTGCTTCAGAGATTTTAAAATACTCCTACAATAAAGCCACCTATTCTTGTGCAGCCTCATTCCCAAGCCTTGTAGCTTGGTTTGCACCTCCTGCACCTGGCCCAATTAAGGGTAAATTCATATGAAGTCCAAAGGCTCTTCCATCTCTTCACTTTGGGACTACCATTTATCTTAGCAGTCCTCATAGTCCAGTATCCTGTCTCCAACAATGACCAATACCAGAAGCTTCAGAGGATGGTCTTACTAGACAATGAAGCTTCTTCCTAAACTTAATTAGGGGTTGCTTATGCTTTAAAGCAGGAGTATTTATATCCCTTCTAAAAAAAAATTATATCTAATGTAATTGGATCTTCTCATTCATACTATTGTCCAATCCTTGTAAAAATTTTATTAAGATTTTTGGCCCCAATAATCTCTTGTGGCAATGAGTTTTTCATGGCTTAATTATACATTGTATTTAAAGTTATCGGTTTTAAATCTGCCACCTTCAATTTAACTCAACGTGCCCTTGTTCTTGTATTAGGACAGTGGGTAAAAGGGAGCACCTGATTTACCTTTGGTTTACTGTTTGTTATTCTGTACACTTATTGTATCCCTAATTTTTTCCACTTTGTCCTCAAAAGCTTTTCCATTATTCTATCAAAATGTCACTTCTTTCTCTCAACCAGAAAGTGAACAGATTATTGCAGGTGAGAGTCTACCACAGATATAAAGTGACAAGGCTGAACTTTCAGTATTACATTGTAGCCCATCATCTATGCATTCTAGTATTTGGGGGCTTTTCCTTTGCACATTTGAACAATGGTGCTCATTGAGCTGTCTACAAAGATGCCCAGGTCTTTCCCCTCAGTGGTTACAGCAAATTTAGAACTAAGTAATATGTCATTCTGCTCTCCAGAATTCATGTGTATCCACAATTCACTTAAACTCCACTGTTCCAGTGAAAATATACTGAAGCCACTCTCAAGCCCAGTCATCCTACTGCTGCTGTCAAGCCATAGGCACTTAACTCCATACCCTAATGATTTCAGAATAATGTAGAAAGAATAAAAATTATGAACTTCAGGCAGAAACTTCTGTCTCGTCAGTGATAGATCTTATCGAATTGTAAAGAATCCTGGAAGTGACTCCATATGGGACATCAGACAGTCACAAACAGCATTATCCGAAGAACCCCGAATGACTTAATTCTCCCATCAGTGCAGAGGACATTCTTAGGAACGACCTAGATCTCCCTGAAGAGGAACTTGATATAAAATATGTAACATGCATAAGGAAAAGACTTTCCAAAGTGCTTAAGGATTCATTACTGTCAAATCCCACAGAAAGTCCCTTCAAGAACCAAGTCAAAGTAATTAGATAGCCAGTTCCACAGGACTCAGGACTAGTTTTGATTGGTAAACAAGCGAATACATCCGATGTATTAGGAATTCTATTTGGTTTCAGATGAACTTGACCTTGAAACAAGAGCATAAGTAAACTCCTATTCCAGGTTGCATTTGAAGGTACAATTGACCTATCTGGTTAGTCCCAAATGGCAAAGAAGAAAAGAAGTCTTTGAAACAAAACTCTTACCAGAGCCATACTTCGTGCCTTCATAAACTCTACTGACAACATGCTAATTGGACACCATTTGAATCTGGTTTTCAAGTAGGAAAAACAACAACATCCAACCATGCATTACATATAGCAGACAGACAGAATTCTGAACATCTCACCTCCATCCTCACAGTCTTCAGGAGCTTTGGCTTTCTTACAGAGCCGAGGATCAAGCCAAGTGGTTGTCTTGGTGTTGTGACTGCGGAATATAGGACAACCGAATCAGGAGCAGAAAAACAGCAGGAGATAAAGGGAGAGACACGAAAGAGACTCCCAATGAATGGATTTAACCTATTATACTTAGGACTTCATAAATTTCCTTCCACATGCAAATCTTTGCCTCTAGGTCAGCGTACCTGCTGTTCTCACCTCTGTCACATCAAAAATGCGACCAAGGAAAGGTACCACTTAAATATAATAACTACCAAAATACTCAAGGATCTTTTGTACCACTGTGACATGGGAGGTTACAGTGGTGCAAACGTTTCTTAGCAGTCAAAAATATTTCAAAGGTACGTGTTCACAGCCACAGTCTACACAGTTTCACTCTAAATGTAGCAGGTTTGTTGGGAGTGAGGTAAGCCTAGGTTTCATCTATCAAAAAATATTGGATCTCTCAATAGTCAATGCAACTTGTGCATGGAGCTGAATTCAAGAGCTCTGCAGAACTGTGTAGAGGTATATGTAAGTAGAGAACAGAACCAATGAAATAAGAGCACACTGAATACACCTGTCTCTTTTGGTTCTCATCAGAACAGACCCAAAATACAAACTTTTCCCTTACCTGGTTTTAAAAATTTAATTATGGGAATAGATAGGAAAAGTTTTGTGCTCTTTAATAAGGTGTCGGACATCACCTCTAAAATAGGGTGATCATGAAAAGAGCCATGGGAAAAGTAATGGAAAAAAACTGATAAGACCTAAAAGAGCATCTTATAGCTGTTAAAAAGTTAAGACAATGTAAGTATTCCAGACAACCGATATTTTAAAAAGTCACAATATGAATGTAGATGTAAAGGCTGCTACCACTCTGAACCAAAGCACATAAGAAATTGCCAGTGAGTTTGCAAGATTAGTGATTTTGCTCTTCCATGACAAGTAGTACTTATCATTGCACTGCAGGAACATATGGTACATGTTAACTCTGAGATAACACACTAACATAAGTGAGCAGAGTTATCCAGAAACCATGTTTTATCTCAGGTCTATTGACGCTGTGATTATAAACCCATTTACTCAGGGATTTCTAACTCTGTCCTATAAATCTGCATTAGGTGGCACAGTCTCAGCATAAAGTTCTTCTCCATCCAATATTTTTTTCTGTGTACAAAGTATGACAAAGCCTTTCATACATTTACCATTGAAGCAACTACAAAAAAATCATTTTGAGGATATCGGATACTTTTCACCTTGGAGGAAAAAACCCTTAACTTCTGCCTATGCTTAGCAATCAGTGTAATCTGATGATTTACAATTCATGAAACAGACTATTACACATTCTAATAGCTGCTTTTCACATTCCATTTCATACCAGAGATCGCAGGCAGAGCAGAGAGAATAAGGGAAATCCCGTGGATTACAATGAAATTTTGCAGAGTAAAAGTACACATAAAATTAGACCCATATCCAGCTATCAACACAGAACCTGAGCTTTGCATTCTGTGCGATACAGAATGCACATCATAAATAAGTTAACTGACTTCATAACTGGAACCACTGTGCTTTCACACCTAATTTATTCAGATACACAAAACACTATCATACTAATAGCATTTACATGGATTCTTTCCCTATCTGCATTTTCCCCATGAAAATAAACACTATACTGAAGTCCCTATATATGGTAGCTAAGATACCTGTACAAGTATCCATCTATGAAGATTGACAGACAGGAAAAGCTGCTTGGATGAAAAGGCTGGTGACACCAAGTAGGGATACTATGATAGATATAGATATATGAAAATAAAATTCCTGCAGCTTATTCCTCAAATCAACATCACTGTCCTCTCTAAGTGACATTGTTATAATCTTCACAGGAACCTCTGTGAAATCAAACACACAAAACTGGTGACATTTGGTGAGGATCATGGAGTGAGAACAGACTGCGACTTCAAAGCCAGAAGATTATATTTTCATGCAAAGACCTCAGCAATAAAAAGTGGGTAGGAAAGAAGATATATAAAATCAGCAGAAATCTCTATAGAGACTCAGAGCTCATGCATCTCAGGAAGGTACATTCAATCTATAAAGATACAAACTTCCACTCACTCTATGAAGTATACCATGCCTGTGTCTGTGTAGGCCATCTCCCAGTTCTTGGGTAGAGGCTCTAGGCTCTCATCCCTTGACAAGTAATTTCTGAAATCCATGGAGCTGCTTGTCTGGTTGTAACTAGGAACAGGCTTCATCCAGTCAGAAGAATCTGAATGTCTCTCTCGGTTTTCTGAAATTGTTTAAAGCAAAGTGTTACGGTTAAGATTTTCATGCTGCTTTGCTCACAGAGAACCACCCCTTTTGTTCTCACAATGAGAGAATGCCAAACACCACTGTGTTTCATCTGTATTTTTCTATTACATTTTTTTCTGCTGTGAACTTTAAAAAACTGAAGTGAACACACGGAGTTCTGTTCTTCCCTTGCCAAACAGCATTAACCTCATACTTGTCTGAGCCTAGGCTGAAAAAACAACACTGGAACCCATCTAGGTAGACTACTTACTGCATTTCCTATCAAAGAGAATAGCATTTGTACTGCTCATTAGAGAATCCACACCAGCATCCCTCTCAGTGTATCAAGACCCATGGTACAAGAACCACAATGAATGATCCAAGGAAAACAACAGTGCAGCAGATTTTAAATTGTGTGAATTTAAGCACTTTGGTTTAGAAACCATTGCCAATAACCTCACTTTTACAATTCTGTATTTGTGACAAATTAATATGGACTGCAGCCACATCACCTGAGCTCTGATTCTTTCAGCTCTGAAGGTAAACGGGACTAGGCCAGATCTGTACTTGAATGGGTGACTTCCAAGAAATGCCTAGATGCAGCACAATCTGCAAATGTAATGTGCTGGTTGTCCCCCTTTTGAGATAATAAAGATGTTAAAAAGAATAGGATCTCAGACTAATCTTTGCAACATCCCACTGGACACCTTGTTCCAGTCTCAATGCACTGTTCTTCATTATCACTTGCTCGGCACATTCCTTCACCTAGTTTTCGGATTATGTGACAGTGCTCCTACCCAAGTTAATTTGAAAATTTCAGAGTAACAATTTGATTGATTAAAATCTTGACTGCAGTCAGGAATTTCTCCCTTTGTAACTGACCTGCACCTCCACTGCCATTAACTGCTTCCTTTTCTTCCTCTTCCTCCTCCTCAGGGAGAGAGCTATCCATTCTTTGCATCTTGCTGACAGACGTGGTTCTTTTTCTCTGGGATTCTGCATCAAAATCATTGTCAAAAAGAACTTGATCCACTGCGTCTGGCTGAAAGGGACTGGGCTCTGCTGGAGGCTTTGGTGTACCATAGAAATTACCTGGCATTAAGAAACAAATGGTACAAAATAGAAGCAGTGGTATCTGGTAAAGATCTCTACAATCACAGGAATGACTCAAGTCACAGTACATATTCTACTGCCACAGTAACATAGTTTTGTGAAATACATGAATGAAAAGGTAATTTACTAAACTACTTAAGACATCAGCATTTCAGTAACTGATGAATGCTCAAAAACTGGAATTTACAGCTACACTGTATTTCTGCTAATGCTGTCATTGTGCATCTGGGTATAATGCATTTAATTCCAAAAGTGGCTGCTCTACACAGGTTTCCAAATCAAGAGACTGACTTGTTATTTTACCTTGCATTCACTAATGCTCCAGAATGAGATTTATAGCAGAGTTTGGTAGGAGTAAAGTGGAGGATTACCTTGAAAACCAAAATAATTTCTATTCTAATGTACAGCATATAGTAATTAACTAATCTGGAGTAATTTGCAGCCTGTAGGCAGGTTGAAGCTAAAAAGCAAATTCATTTTGTGCTGAAACACGAAATATCATTTGCACAAAAGCAATTTTAAAAAATGATTTCTTAGAGCTGTAATCCTAGGTTTTCAGTTTATAATTTTCTTACCCAATAAGGCTATTAATAAATCAATGAATTATACCTGAGAAAACTGAAAACATTTTGATCCTAATATGTTGTGTAAGTTCAAAGGATCAGCATTTTTTTCCCAATAAAATAAATGCTCAAACAGAATTGAAATAACTGGCTTTCTCCTCTTAATTCATCATGTGATTTTAATTAGGGAGTTGAGCACAGAGCTTAGCAGGACTCCTGCTGGGTTAACATTTGGTAGATAGATTTTGTTTTGACTGCATAAAATATTAAATAAAACCCCCTATATTCAAATACCTTTCAGGCTTCAACTGAAAATGGGAGTTAAGGTGAAAGCTTTGGGTTAGCCTGGCTTGTTAAAGTCTAGTTGCTGAGGGGATCTCCAGATGCTGGGCAATTGTGCATACTGTATGTGCAGCAAAACCACGGCACAATCTAAAGAGCTTGGCTTAGAGAGCCGCTCAAAGAATTTCCTTCTTTTGGTTATTTTAACAGTAGTATACCTTTTCATTTCTTTTATTTTTCATATTAGGGAAGAATTAAATCTCAAGAAAATGTCCAATAAATCATAATAGTTCTTTACAAGTTTCATAATCTTTTACACAGAGACGGTTTCATACAATACAAACTCTTGAAGAAGCTTTAACCACTGAGGTAATCACTTGAAATGTACATAATCTATATTATTACAGATATTTCTAGTGGAAAAATTTTAATGCATAAAAATAGCCTTTTTACTTTAGTTTTCATATATATTTTTATATATGCATCCCAGATTTTTCTTGAGGAAAAAGTCACTTATTTGAGTTAAGGGTACCTAAACAAGGATGTTTTAAATATATTGTAAAAACATATTTTACAACTTGTATATATATTTTAAAATAAGTTGTTCCTGATTAGAAACCTTCAACACCAGGTTTCAATCCAGACGAAAACTTAAGAGGAGCCAGGTTATGATGTTCTATAAAAAAGGGTTTACATCTGAGACATTGATTTAGCTACTGTAGCCTTTATCTTCAAGAACAGAGCCCATGCCTGCCTGGTCCTTGAGCAAAAGGATATTAACCATATCACTCCTATACTTTAGTTAGTTCTATGCCTAGTTAAATACTTTGGCTAGGTCCATTAATACTTTTCATCTTCCTAGTGACTGAGGATTCCTGCTCAGGGTGGAAACAGGAAAAATAACTTCAGTAACTCATACCGAAAGAGAAAAGCCTGGTCTGACCTGAATAAACTCATGATTATTTAGCTACAGTTTAACAAAATATTAGAACATATTTCTAATGTTAACTGCTTCCTATGGCCCTATGTTTAAAATAGTTTTTAACCATAACCACTCACACATAGGCAGCCACTTACGATATGTCAACACCACAAATCAGTGTCTTATTGTAACAGTAGGTAGGCCTACCAGTGCTAGCTTTAATCTAGCTAGTGCAGGTAACAGCAGCCGTGAAGACATGGAGGCATGGGCTTCAGAACAGTACAAGTCCACTGGGGAACTGTAGGGCATACTCAGATTGCAGGCCTATGCTGGGATCCATGCTGCCATGTTTTCACTGTCATTGTTACCTGCGCTAGTTAGATTAAAGCTAGCACGCATACGTCTACTCGCACTACAATTACTCCTTCCTTCCTATCCTTAGATTCCCAGACCCCTAGTAGGAACAGAGGTACAATAAAGATAGAAGACCCAAACAGCAACCACGGCAGCAGGCTTGAAGTGTAAAAGCAAAAAAACAAAACCCAGAACAACAGGGTAGCAGGCAGGGAAGAAGCCTCTTGAGAAAGTGGGGGAATGCAGAGAAAGATCCATGGCAGTGCAATGCATGTGCACAGGAGAAGAGAAGGAAACCATGTAATAGCTTGAAGGACCAATGGGAGCCAGCCACATTAGGCTTGTCTTGGTGAAATACACACAAACTACAATTAACAATGGGATGATTTAGATGGGTTTGGGATGATTTAGATGGGAATTGGTCCTGCTTTGAGCAGGGGGTTGGACTAGATGACCTCTTGAGGTCCCTTCCAACTCTGATATTCTATGATTCTATGATTAAAAGGGAAAACGAGGACACACTTAAGATTGCAGATATTTTAGACAATAAAATTAAAGAGATGGTACATCCAAATGGGGAAGAATTTACAATTACAAGTACAAAAGGTGTGATGGTAATTAAAGGACTTAGCATGCTTGGACAATTTCCCAATTCAGGCTTCGATTCCGTAATCGGATTTGTGTAGTTGTGTTGACTAGAGCTCTGAGCAGATACAAAATTTGTATCTGCATCCGATCCACGATCCGCAAACATACGCAGGCCTCTAGATAGAACATTTGGATCCGCATCCATCCGCGGATATAAAGCAGATATCCGAAGATTTGCAGGCTCTCCTGTTGAATTCAGTTGGACTCCAGGACATAAGGGGCTATGTGGATCAGATTGCCTTTGAATCCTACTTAGATGCATGGAGAACATTGGTACAGTGTGCAGAAAGCTTGGAAAAGTAACTCTGTCCAGAAGGGTATCAACTGTGGAAAGCTCATGTCAGGGTGCAGACGTGTTAAAAATGGGCCAATAACAGAAGACAAGTTCTCTGATCCAGAGATCACAGTTAATGCTAGCTATGACAAAATCATGTGTGAGTCTACAGCTACTTAATTAAGAAGAGGATGGATCACATGGGAAGGTTGTGATTTGTACTTTTCTACCAACAGAAGCAGTATTGTGTATGCATGTCTATACATGTTTTACTCCTGAGGGAATTCTGCACCAAAAAATAAAAAATTATGCACACAATATTTTAAAATTCTGCAAATTTCTGCAAATTGTATTTGTCAATAAATACATGTGGCTCCAGCATGGCAGTGGGGAGCACAGGCCATTGACTGCATTGAGGTGGGAGATCAACCTGAAGCCCTCACCTCCCCCAGTACAGAGACTTGGCAGTGAGACTGCACCAGACCCTGACAGAGTACAAGGGCTGGGCCTGGCCAGAAACACCCCGGGGCCCTGCCCCTCTGTGCCAGGTGCACCAGGTGTGGGTGGGCAGGCTCAGTCCAGCAGGATCCAAGTGGGGGCAGGAGCACTGCCAGCTTTTCTGCCCCCCTTGGCGGCGGAATGTCCCGCCCCGAAATGCCGACCCCTACAGAGGCGGTGGAAGGTCCCGCTGCCGAAATACCGCCGCGGTCGCCACCCCCCAAATTGTAGTGCCCATGGCGACCGCCTAGGTCGCCTAATGGGTTGCGCCAGCCCCGAGTGTCGGGGGGGATCTAGGTGTGGGGCGGCTCAGTGGGAGATCTGGATGCACAGAGGCTCGTTGGTAGGGTTCCGGTGGCAGGGGCAATGGGACTCTGCAAGGTATCCAGGTGAAGGTGGTTGGGGTTTGGAGGGGGCCTCAGCAGGAGGGTCAGGTTGTGGGGGGCTCAGTGGGAGGTCTAGGTGCTGGGGGACTGGGGCTTGATGGGGTGGGGGTCCAGGTGCAGCTGGTTGGGGGATCAGTGGGGTGGGGGGGCTCGAAGGGATCTAGGTGTAGGGCTTGTCAGGGTGAGGGTTCAATGGGCCTGCTTAACGGGGGAGCCCCAGCTGCTGCCGAGGTGATGCCGCATGCTGGGCTTCCGCTTCCCCCCGCAAGTCCCCTATCCCCTTTTCTTAGCTATTCCCCTCCCTCTCACTCCCACATTCCCCTCCCCCTGCCCTATTCCACCTCCCCTTCCTTCCCCACTGCCTCTTCCCCCCACCCTCCCTTCCCTCATTTCTCCCAGCCCCACCGCGGGCACTCACTATTGCGCAGAATAGAAAACAGGAAGGCTCCCAGCACACAGAAGGGGAGCACGACTGGCACTAGGACCCAGGTGACGTTCAGCTGCAGTCAGTGAAGTGAAGAGACAGCCTCCTTCAGCTGGGCAGCTCTGCGCTTGCAGAATGAGTGCGGGCAGTGACATGTAACCCTGTGTCCCCCCTTACTTGCTTCTGTTTGGAGGGGGGCAAACCCCCCCCCCAAACTGCGCCCATGGTCGCCCCCCAACCACGCGGCTTCCCTTTGCTTCCCTGCAATTTTCTGCAGGGAAACACAGGAAATCTGCGGGGGGAGGGTCATTTTCTGCGGGAGTGCAGTCCTGCAGAATCCCCCCAGGAGTAATGTTTATAATGTATTCAGATCCAGGTTGGCTGACACTCAGATAATGCTTCAGTGATCTGAAACACGAAGTCATAATCATGACAAGCGAAATCAAGTGCTGGGACATGCTTTCTCTGGGTGCAACCCTGACTGCAGGAAGGGCAGCAATGTGGAGGGAGGCTGCCTGCAGCCTGCATGACAAGGCTTTCTGCAGAGACCAGGGGTGCTCAGTGCCCATGAGGCTGCACCGCACCTTCTCCCCCTGTGCTGTCTGGGGGGCCAGTACTCTGTGCTTCCCAGAGCTTTCTTCTCTGCATGCAGTCCCCTGGCAGGGAGTGGCCTAGAGACTGCAGGGAGAGGTACTGTGCAGCTCTAGCATCCGGGCTGCAGCCCACTCCCTGCTAACGCCCTGCCCATAACCTCCCCTTCCAGCCTGCAGACCCTTATGTCTTGTGTGGTCCCTGTGTGCAGGCAGGTTTGCCCAGCTGCAGCCCGAAAAGGAAGCGCTGGGATGGATGGTTTGAGGACTGACTGCAGGCAGGTTTGCAGGGCTGCAGCCAAAACAGGCAGGCCCCAGCACTTCCCTTCCCTGACTGCAGCTGCACAAACCAACCTGCAGGTGGGGCCCTTCTTAAAAAGAAAGTTGCTACTAAGCAGCATACTGTTGCAATGTCAAATACCATTAACACTGATGTTAATAGGATGGGATTGGTTCACACAGCAACATGTTGCCATTAACTGGAAGTTGACAGTATCAGGATTGCTATTAACCAGCATCTATTGTATTTACATTTTAATTCAAAAGGAGTCAGGTGTTAGTGATGAAAGCTAAAAATCATAAATTTAGAGAAACATCCTCATCTGAGAGACTTTCATTAAGAATTACCAAAAACACTACAACAGTAATGAAAATAAAGCCAGCAACTAATTAGGATAGCGTCTAGCAAATATTATGGCTATTCTAAAATACTAAAAGCAGAAAGAAGACAAAAGTGGACTATTCAGTAGAAACCTTTGGAATAATTTATAATATATTTAATAACTCTTAAGCGAGAAATTAAAGCTACGGAAAACTTTTCACACAAAACCCAGAACTATGACCACAAATATATTTAAAGCAAAAGTCAACCAAAAACATACATAAAAGTTTTTAGAATGACTCTGAAAAGCACAATGATATGGAAAAGAAACAGGTGTTAAAGTGAACTGAACACAGGTCAGGACACATGGGTTCTAATAGTGGGTCACCATCTCACAGCGCGAGCCGGGACAAGACAACTACTGTGGTCCAAATTAAATCATACCAAATTAAATTGTTATCCAATCTATACAATGGAGATAATATTGCTTCCCTACCCGTGCAAAGCACTATTACGCCTCATGAGTATAAGGATCCAAATTTAGGTCTTGTCTACACTAAAAATACTGCAGCAGCACAGCTGCACCATTGTAGTGCTCCAGTGAAGACGCTACCTGTGCCAACGGGGGAGCTTCTCCCATCAGCGTAAGTTCTCCACCCGTCTGAGAAGTGGTAGCTATGTCAATAGAAGAAGCCCTCCCATTGACACAGTGCTGTCTACACCAGGAGTTAGGTCAGTGTAACTATGTCGCTCAGAGTTGTGGATTTTCCACACCTCTAAGTGCACGCCTTCACTACTCGCCGGATCGGCGGGTAGCGATCAATCTATCGGGGATAAAATCGATCCCCGGTCACTCTGCCGTCGACTCTGGAACTCCACCACAGCGAGAGGCAGAAGCGGAGTCGACTGGGGAGCGGCAGCAGTCGACTTGCCGCCGTCCTCTCAGCCAGGTAAGTCAACCTAAAATACGCAACTTCAGCTATGCTATTCGTAGCGTAGACCTTGCCTGAGTGATGTAGTTATACCAACATAAGTTACTAGTTTAGACCAAGCCTGAAACAAAGACTGGACACTAATGCCATTAAATTCTTCCCGGTCTTTATTCCCATTCTTATAAAAGACTGTAGGTACACGTGTTCAAATTCTTTAACGTACCATCATATGTTCCACTTTCTAGCAAGGCTCCACTTTCTTCCAATGCTTTAAACTGTTCAACAGGAATGAAATTATAGTCCACCCCTGGGACCTCCCCATCCCTGGGAGCCCTTGTAGTGCCTGAAAAGACAGAGAAGAAACTGTTGTATGGTTGTCGAGTGCTGTTGGTTTACAAAATACTCTCTCTTGCAGAATTCAACATAAAAAGAAACAGTGGTTATTTGAAGCTTTCCACAGCTATAGTGCCACTCTGTCAAGATAAGGATCAGAACATTCTCATGAAAGTGAACATTGCAGCATGTGAAACTAGGTCAATAAATTATGTAGGAATAAGAAAGGATATTTTAACAAGAAATAGAAGCCCTCATGAATTTATTAAATCTACTGTTACGAAGGGCATACAAAAAGGAATTTTGATACCAGAGTTTAAACTTCCTAAGAACTAACATTCAAATCCCAATACAGCAGGACCTTGATTTTATGAAAGCCAATCTTCTGACTAACCAGTTATATGAATCCCTTTTCCCAGTTGGAAAATAATAAATCAATCACATCTAAAAAGTGATGTCCAGGAAAAACAAGTCAAAATCCCTTCACATTCCGATGCCTTCAAACATTGGGAATCTCTTTGCAGTGGTTTGAAGGACAAGAAAGCGATGCAGTACACCCAGGCTGCAACTTACCTCCGGTAATTCTGATATGTTCAATCTTAAGAACTTCTCGGTGTTATGAACTCCTCAGTCCCCAACTTTCATTAATATGGCAATAACTCTGAACACTTTCTATATTATGGTTTGCAATGAACAAAGACTCATCAATATATACAGTTACAATACATTCATATAATAGTCAAAATTCAATCTGAACAAAGCAAAGAAGTTTACAATTCCGCTGCTTCTACTGTTCAGGTTACAATTGCACCTGCACCACAAGCCCCCATTTTAAGATTTCATTATTAAAATACAAACAATTGCTCATTGCTCTGAGTTATTTTGGGGATGTAATTTATATATATTCCTAACATTTTTATGATCATAGCTATTTTTCTGGACAAGTCATACAAATCCATAAAGGAACTACTCCTCCACTATCTGATGCTTTTTGCTTCCTATAAAACAGCATGGAATAGCTTTTTTTTTTAATCGTATCAAATTACACAAATAGGGCAAATTTCATGCTGCTGAGATGGTCCTTTCAAGGGTCTCTGTAGCACCTAATGGGGCTGTGCAGCAGAAGCTGCAAGCTGAGAGGCTGTATAGAAGGACCTCTGCACTCTCTGCATGCTGTGAAGCTTCTCATAGGCCAGTACAGAGAATGGCAAGGGGTGGCCACATCTTTGTGGCCAGTGTCCCTAGCACTCCACACAATTGGTGCAGAGGAATGAAGACTATAGTTCCAGCATACAGGCTAAATAGTAGCCATTTTAGAAAGGAGACTAAGTTGCACTGTAGCCTGGTGGCCTGAGCCTAGGTTGAGGGTAGATTTTTCTCTCTCAGCTCATGTTCATTTTATCAACATAAAACCTGATTGCAAAGGGTGTTTTAATGCAGGTGAAGCAAATTTTTCATTTTATGAGTGTAACTTTAAATATATATATAAAAAGTTTAATTTCCAATCTATATAAATTCTTGAAATTACTGAGTAAATAAGAAATATACAACTTGATAGTTACAGTAGAAACAAAATGAACTTCATTTGGCAACTTGTCAGATAAGTGCAGGTTCTGAACTGCCTTGGACAATAGTTAATTCTACATCTATTTCAAGCTCTTTAGAATTTTGACAATCTGCTAGCAAATTGACAAGTGAAAAACAACAGCAAATACACAATGGTTTAAATTTTTCTACAGTTGTGATCTTTAGATCTTTGTTATAACTGCTAGTGGTGACAAGTTTATATACAATGACAGCCATAGGAATGGTAGCCAATGAAGCCAAAACATCTTAGGTACTTCTACAAGTAGTACAAGGTTCTTTTAATTAACTTTCCCTTGAGAGGGTGTGCTAATGAGTGGTTTATTTACCTGCTAAGTCAAGTCCAGAATCCTGTTAGTTATGTAAAACTTCCTACTTCCCTAGGAATATTTTTATAAATAATACAAAAAAAAAAAAATGGAGTCTCCTGACAAAAGTTGAGGAAATAGACTATCTTGCTATTTAGTTTCAGGGTTTCACACATAACCCTTACATCATCTGAAACTGACACTCTGGCAACAAACATAAGCTTTTTCATATCACATTGTACATGGGATACTTGACAAACTTCATTTCTAATGAATCTAGAACAGTTTTAAATATTAGTCATGATGAAAACTTTCGACTTTCATTACATGTTTTGACATGTACACCTCTACCCTGAGGTAACGCGACCCGATATAACACGAATTCGGATATAACGCGGTAAAGCAGTGCTCCGGTGGGCGGGACTGCGTGCTCCGGCGGATCAAAGCAAGTTCAATATAACGCGGTTTCACCTATAACGCGGTAAGATTTTTTGGCTCCTGAGGACAGCGTTATGTCAGGGTAGAGGTGTATCTTACCTGCATCTATTAAATGAAAAAGGCTTTTAATCTTATACTGAGTGTAGAAAGTGGAAATATCTTGAAAAAAAAGTCCATTTGCCTTTATTCTTAAGTCACTAATCAATCCAAAACATTCAAATGATTTAAAGTTATTGTATTTCAATATGCAAGATGCAACCAATTGACAACAGCTTCTGCCCTTCAGTATTAGATCACTTTGTCAAGAATTCCATTAGATTTAAATTTTCTAATGTGGCTAAGATGAAATAAAATAATCACATTGCTTTTGTGCCCCTATGACAAATATTGACATGAAACATTCATAAGCCTTCCATCTCCACCCCCAATAAACTACTTCTGTATATGACAGCAGTTTATACCTCTAAATCTAATCTTATGAAAATTTAAATTTACAATTACAGTCTCATCTCATAATTTTGTCTAGATTGTTTGCTAACTCATTCACATAAAATTAACATTTAACTTTTGTCGGTAGACATCTCATAGAATTTATAGTAAATGTTCTGATGAGAATGTAAGAATTATACAATACTAATTAAAAACAGTTTTTTGATACCATGCAAGATGGGCCCCTTGTACACAGACTGACGACACAAACTGAATGTTATCCTGTATGATGGAAACATTAGGTGTGTGAAGGAATGCATGTTGAAACACAGTTTTAAATATTAACTTAACTCACTTCAACTCCTTGAATTACTTCATTAACTAAAGATTTTTTTAAAGTCCACAATAAAAGATAATTAAGTGTGGAAAAACACCCATACACTAGAAAGACACCATCTCAGGTCAGAAGAAATTAATATACAGCAGATGAATACTGCAGCAAAGAATAGCATGAGATTTCAATGAGACTTACTCCCCAAAAACAAATGAGGTTCATTGGTGAACCGGAGTTTTTATTGTAATTTCTACTTAACCAAAAGGAAATGGCAAATATGTCCTCTCTTTCACCTTCCTGGATGTCTCTCATCATGCATATCATCCTTTTAAACAGAGGTCATGCAATGACTTGGTCAGTTCGGTGCCTGCTCTCTGATATGCCAATGGGCTGCACGTAAATCCCAGTGAAGTTTGTAGATAATGGGAAGTCACTCAGACTGAAAAGGTCTCGCTATGCAAATTACTTCTTCAGGGTATTTATCGGTGGTGACCAGCACCCAGCCTATTCAACTGAAGTCAGTGGGAACTTCCAAGTGAGCAGCACTGTTGCAAATCAGGTCACTTATTTGGTGGCTAAGTATTGAGTTCGGAGCCTAAGTTTAAGACCTCATTTTTGAAAATCTTGGGCTCTTCATTCTTGGAGGCACGGTAGTGATTAAATTAAATTAAAGGAGATATCCTATCTCCTAGAACTGGAAGGGACCTTGAAAGGTCATCGAGTCCAGCCCCCTGCCTTCACTAGCAGGACCAAGTACTAATTTTGCCCCAGATCCCTAAGTGGCCCCCTCAAGGATTGAACTCAAAACCCTGGGTTTAGCAGGCCTATGCTCAAACCACTGAGCTATCCCTCCTCCTGTGATCAGACTGGAGTTTGGTTTTGCTGCTTATAGAACTGCAATACTATACCCCTAGAATCACATACCACATTAACACACCTCCGAACCTGCAGAAAAGGAGGGCCTGTTGACTTCATTACTAGGGTCTCCTTATTTCACAGGGAAAGGAGAGGTGTATTTTACTCATACTATTCACAGCTCAATGACTTTTTTGTCCTTTTTTAATGAGTTTTCTAATCAATGATTTTTCTTTCCTCAAACAAATTATTCACTTGTTAGATCAGCGATTTCCATTCTGCAGTATTGGTATTCATACAGGCGGGTGTTCCTAATTTCACAATGTGTAGCATTAATTGAAAGCAAAGTTACGGCTGGCAGGAGTTACCTAATGAGAAACAATTAAAGATAAGGCAAAACCATTATAATAGTGAAAATGACTTGTATGTAACTTTCTATAAAGCAGTATTATTTAAAGAATGAGATAGTGTTATAGCATGCTGGGCTATATCAGCATATAGGCACACTGGTGAAAAGATGGGGAAATTGGAGGTAATGAGAGAACATCAATCATGCTATGATTTTAGGAGGAAGAGAGTTTTAGAAATTAGAAATTATGATGAGAGGAAGACAGAGACAATAAAAGCTGGAGGATGAGGTGATGTGAGAAAGAAAAATGTTCACACATGCTGTGAG